ATGGAACACCATAAGAACCATAAGTCATACAAAAGAAAAAGAAGATAAAGAAACATTTCACAGTAATAAAAAGGCATTCGTTGTCGTGAGATGAGGCAAGAGTTCAAAATCTAAGGAATCTTTATTTACAAAAAGGATCAGACTAAAAAAGATAACTTAAAGCCGGGGTATCTAACTTTCAACATAATAATATCCATGTAAAGGAGAGGACTCAACCAATCAGCTCTCAGCCCAAACCATCAAACAGAAACTACAGGGCTAATTCTTAAAAGTATGCAAAAAATAAAATTCACCGCATTTTAAAACTCTTTCTTTGTTATGTATTTCATATGAAAAAAAAAAGTTAGTTTCCCCAGCTTTAAGGAAACAAAATATTCAAATGCTTCGGGACATCTGCGGCGAAGTAGACATTTATGAGAGGGAGAATGCATATGTATTCTGAAAAAGCTTTTAAAACTCACTTAACGCAACCTAACCACATTTTGATGTCCCTAAAGCCAGTGACAACATTTGAAACCACTGAAGTCCAACCACACCGCTGGCAAATGGTTTTTAATACGATGTGGCGCTGAAGTATGTCAAAGCAAAGACAATAAAACGGGAGATGGAAATGACGAGGGAGCTGGAGGAACAAGGGGAGAGCTGGGGACAAAACAAGATGGAGCAAAGGCACCAACCTTTCTTGAAGGAACGCGGGGAGTCTGATAGATCTCCTTGGCATTCAAAATGAGCAACAGAAAAAGAGGAACAAAAAGAGGGGAAGGAGAGAACAGAGAAAACGTAGGTGAGCAGAGAAAGGCAGCATCATCAAGCTGTGTTAATTGATTAGGAAAAGGAGCCCAGCAGGGAGGCGACTGGAAATTAATTTTTCACAGATAACTCAAAAAAGAAGCCATTTTATTTGGGTTAGAAAGTTCTACATTACAGCCAGAAGGGAGCTGATATGTGCAGGAAATGTTCTCTGTGGATTCATTGTTAGAAAACCCTCTCACACCAAGTACTCTTTCCAAAACTCATTTATCACAGGGTAATGATGAAGATGATAACTGCACATTCTCTCAAAAATAATCTGGGATGAACACCTTGCACCTGGGGCCTCGCTGTCACACGCGGAAGGGACCATTGATTACTGCGCACGAACCGATCCAAATCGAGAGCCGCGAGGAAAATGCATGTGTTGCGCTCCCATCGACATTGCTGTTCTTTTCAAATAGCCGCAAGCTCTATTTGGGTTCATTTTGGCTACTGGCAATGACCTTGAGGCTATTTTCTTTGGCAGTTCATAATTTTAGAATGTATATACAGTATATGGATAAACATTGATAAAACAACTCCAACTAGTGGTGGAAGCGGGAAATGATCAGTATTCAATATTAAAACTCTCTAATTGAAGACATGCAGACCACTGTCTCTTAACTGGAGAAACTAGAGAAAATTTGGTTGTAAAAGACGGTTAATAGCCATGTTTGTGACGCATTAGTCTAAAAATCTGTCATTCCCCACGGGTTTGAGATACAAGTGTTTAGACAAAAGGGGCGGGGAGGGTGATGATTTGTGACAGAAGTTCCTCATAAAAGCTTGGATGGAGCTAAACAGATCCAATTATGATTGAGGAACTTTTGTTGTAACATGGTTGAAACTCAAGACAATTTTGCACAAGTTGCAAAAAGATTCCTTTAAAAGTTTGAACCAAAGAGAGCACATATTCCGAACAGATTTACCTTCAGGCTCTGGTCGGGACCCTAGGGAGTTGACCTGGATGGGCCGGTAGGGTTTGATGATCTCTGACACAGGGACCTCCACACTCTCCTCAGACGACACTGTGATGTCTGGTTGTGATTCTGAGATTGAAGAGAGGAACTGGTCCATGTCGGCTTTCTGCTCCTGTAGCAACTCGTCTGCAACACAAATGAACAAATAAACAACTGTATTTCAAACGCATCATGCCAAGAAGGCTGTCACTTTTAATTTTATTGTACATAATTTGTCTTGCACAAAAGAGACTACAGAATATTTTAACATGTTTGCACACTTCCTGTCTTTTTGCACACCCTGATTCTACCTATGCCAAATGTGACATGTACATTTTTCCATTGTGAGATCAATATAGTTAATCTTATCTATATTAACATTGAAAAAGCACTACTTGAACAACTATTGAAACAGTGACACCTGTTTTTTATTACTATAGCATTGGTGAACACGGAGGCCCATCCATAATTTACCTCAAATTAGCATACCACTTATTGATAGCCGGCAACCGAACAGGGCTGTCCCCAATCTTGCTAAACACAAATTCATTTTTTTTCCCTGAGAGCTTCTTTGTGTGAAAATGTGCACATTTTGCGTCCTTGCACTTCCTCCTTCGTCGTGCAAGGACGTGTCTTAGTCCGCTCCTGCTTCTGAACGGCTTGCTATCTCCTGTTTTTGTCCTTTTTTCCTGGAGTTTTGCCACAGACAACTTTAACAGAATGGAAATGATTAACTGGTCCCTCAACGCAATTGATTCTATCTTTTCAACACGTAAGCACGGGTCTGGAGAGCCCGTGTGCCCGGACGGGACTTCACCAGCGGGGTATACGCTTGACAGCTGGAACAAGTGGCAGCCCCTCTGTCTGTCGACCCTGTCCATTGAAGATTCGGAAGACGTATATATCTTTGGCATTTTGGTGGTGGGGATCCTCCTGTTTGGGTTTGGAGCGGTTCTCTTCTACCACAAATTCGGAGGCATGGCAGTTCGCAAGATTCACGACCTGCTGGCCGAAAAAATTGATGGGATGTACAAGGAGCTTAACCGAGTCGTGGTTGAGAGCGCTGTGGCTGGACAACGAAGAGTGGTGTTAGTGGAACAGTTGATCAAAGATCTCGCAGCTCGTTCACTTGATGGTCATAAGACTCTGGAATTGAGATTGAATGACATTGTCTGCCAGGCTTGAACTCTCTGACCCGGCTTGGATTTGCCCCTGTGTACGGGGTCTGAGGGCGCTGTAATTTGGTCTAATTGGATTTAATAGAATATCTGCCTGTTTTTGACTGCTAAACTGCATACAATATTGTCCCTCGTTACAGGAGATGTGTTCTCTCCCTATTGTGTCTTCCCTCCTCTCTTATCTCACATTCCTCGGGCCAAGGCCATCATAATAAATCTGGTCTCTACAAAAATTTCACACTCTTTCAGTCTTCCAGTTTGGATCCCGCTCCCCCCGCCTCCCTCTGATCTCTCCCTCCCCTCCCCTCCTTACTGTGTTTCCGACTCACCCCCTCCCTGACCCCGCCCCCCTCTGACAGCCACATTGGACCGGCAGGCCGGAGGTGCTCATCCCGTGAAAAAAATCCGTGGTTTATACAAAGCACAATGTTTTCTATCCAACTGTCTGTTGTTACCTGAATGTTATTGCTCTCTGCTGTTTCTTGCTGCACACAGCGCCGCAAATGGCGAAGTGGCACGCTCTCTGCCAAGACAATTTCCAAGTGATAACTTTGTTACTCACGTGGCAATAAAAATGATTCTGATTCTGATTCTGATTCTGACATATCCCAACAGGACGCATTGGGATGTGACCCAGTTCTGTCACCACACGCACTGTGCTTTAATCTATGCCACAAGGGTAAGCAACAGCTTCTTTGTTGAACTAAAAAATATGAAAATGTGTTACGTGTGACAGAAATATAAACCGGATGCATTGCTAAACAAAATATGTCATTGTGATAAAATGTTTGCAAACATTGTTTCAAACAGCCAAGAAAAAATACCAATGCTTGCACTACATCCTGTTTGATTCTAATCTTAGGCCTGCCCTCTTGATAACACAGGACACTTCTCGTATTGTTATTGAAGATGCCTAAGTGTGATAAAGGACATTCACCAATTTCATCTTGAATCTCCTCAGCCACATACGGGACCTTGTAGAGCAGAGACAGGCTCTGGTTCATCCTCTCTTCGATCACACGCAAGTGGGTCATCACCTGAAAATAGAACAATTTGTTGAATTTCATTAGTTCGAGAGTGGAGGTAGTGGATGCCTTATGTTCGTGTTCTTTTTGTCCCTGTTTTTAATGATTGGAAAAACATTCACCAATAATAACAATAGAGTTACCTTATGTCTATTTTTATTTCTGCTGTAATGTGCGCAACAATGACACTAAAATATCCAATTGTGGGACGAATAAAGGATTATCTTATCTTAAATTATCGGTGTACTTTAAGTTGCGCTTCAACACATTATTATTAAGAAAAGCTTTTCAGTAAGTAATCTTTATATATGTACCACCAGACAGAGTCACAAAGCACTTTAAAATTGTTGTCGGCATTCGTCCTCTCACAACCACACACGAAGATGGAAGTTTGGTCACCATAAGTTTGGAGGCTATTGTACATGTTTTTTTAGTGGTTAGGGAAACCGGAGCACAAGGAGGAAATTTAGACACAGGGAAAATATGCAAACTCGACACAGAAAGGCCCTGGAGGTGGAATCGAACATTTCTTTTAATGTATTGTGATAATTAATTTGTTTTCTTTTTAAGTCTTTTGTCTTGTTAAGCCCTTCGAGTTGCTTTATGTAGGAACTGGGCTATACAAATAAACTTGCTTTGCCTTGCCTTTTCTACTTATATCAGCACTCAGAAAGCGATTAGTCATGTGCATATCATATATTCATAAGTAATTCATTTCAAGTACAAAATGGCGGACTGATTCAGAAACAAAAATGCATGAAACCCACTGAAAATAACTAAAAAGTAAGTAAAATAACCGGCTCAAACTTTTCCGCTAACATGGACTTGGGTGCAGTACTCAAATGTTAGTGGAGGCTTTGAAGAGTTTTGGCAGGCTCCATAGACTGCAGTGTCAGAAGTGAACACAAATATAAATCTGCACAGACGCAGTTAAAACGGCATCCAGCGATATGATGTTTAGAGAAGGACAATGGAGCTTTTCTACATAGCTGCTGCCTGAGGGGGGGATGGCAGGACATAAAACGCAGCTATAGACAGGTCTGACTGGATGCTGCCAGGTCCACCATAATGACTGTGTGATGGAGCCAAGGCCTGTAGTGCACTATAGCCAGCAACAGATGGCAACAACACTCCAAACTGGACATACAGCAACCAACCCATCATTTTACACCTGATAATGTTTCATTTAGGAGAGAAAAAGATGTGATGTCCATGTTGTGTCAAATTTCCAACAAAGTAATTTGCCAAGGATAGCACTGCACACATGTTGGTACAGGAAAGCAAGACCATTTTCTGGAAATATGGGACGAACAAAACAAAAAATACTCCAAATTGAATACCACAGAAACGATTTTTGATGTCTTTTTGAATTCAAGCTAATACTTTTTAGGTGGCCACATTAAATTTCTTCTTATATTTACAAATTATAAAACAAAATTCTTAGGAATGTGTATCCCAGTTGTAGTATTGATAATTATGACAAACCTAGAACAAGCCTGACTTATTAATATGAATTACTGTAATGAATGAACTCCCATCGTTATGTTATAACCCACAAATGATAAAAGAAAGGTGACGACATGAATTCAATTGTATTTTCTTTTTTAAATAATGCATATTTCTGACCTACTGTATATAGGGATGCTGTAATTTCTTCTCTTTGCTCATTGGTGAATGCAAGTATAACTGCAGTGACTTTCATACAACACAACAGCCCTAATCGGCAGCTCAGGCTTTGCAAACAGACCGACATCCTCCTCTTCGCGTTTCCAGGACTCAAAGCAAAAAGGCAGACACGCTCTTAAACTCCTCCACTCCAGCACAGAGCGGCCCAGACCACAGGGATCATTATATCTCCAACAGGAAGAGCACAGCAGGATGTTTCAGAAGTACTGAAGCGGATGCAAAATGGAAACGCTTCAGTTGAGTAAATATATAGATGTAACGGTGAAAGCACGATAGCAGAATATATCAGAAGAGCTAAGACAAAAAAATAAGTTGTAGATTAATTTAGCTTAATTACTCTGATCATCAAAAATAATCCTCCTACCTTATCATTTCTTATTCTCCCTTCTTCCCTTTTTAAGATGGTGGGTCCAGGCAAGTAGAGCCACTAACATGGCCAAGTGAAATGTAAGAACCTTTAAATACGTTTTTTAGGCCACTTAGGATAAATTGTCACTAAAGCGATAGAGAAAAAGAAGGAAGGCTGTATTGTTTATATATTTGGATGCAACCAAATATAACAACAATATAAACAATGTAGCCGTGCTTTTAGACATGTTTTACACCAATTCAGACCGAGAAAGTAAGATTTTAGGCTTAGGTTTGATATGACGGTAAAATATGGTGGTACTTCACATAAAAAAACACTGGTGTAGAAAGGGCAAGTACAAAATCTTAAGCAATCATTAAATCTGTGCAACAAAATAATTGGGAATTCTGAAGCCAAACCAAATGCTGGATGTGTAATTTTGAGAGATTTTGATTACGACTTTTTAAAACTCGTCACTGACCTGTGATTTCATCTGAGCGGCCTTCTCGGGGTCCACGGCCAGGACGTGCTGGTAGTGACGGATAGTGTGCTGCCGGTCTTTGTTCTCAGCTCTGACGTAGCGCCTCAGGGCTTGGAGGATGCGATGAGGCTGAGGAGGAGAATCAGAAAAGACAGAAAAAGGGAATCATATTTAGCTGTGAAGGAACTGTTTTGATCCATGCATTGCCTTGTACTTCAATCAATCAATGAATAAACTAGTGCTGAGGGATAGTCTTGGTTTTGCTATCATCAATTAGTAATGTCTGTAAGTTCAAATGTATTTCATGTCATAAATAATATATATTTCAGATCATCTGTATTACTATAATATAAAGTAAGTCTTCTGTCATAACAAATATCATATTCTGGTAGTCCCTTTCCTTCAATTAAACTTCACAAGCCTTAAACAAATGGGGTCCTTTGTTGTAAATTAAAGCTGGGATACCTACATTTTTTCATCATAAACAAAACATATGTTTGTCCCAGCTGAAAGGATCTTGTAATAGTCAAATGTTGATGATTAAAATGTTGATTGGCTGAGTGAGGGTGGGCCTCTCTTTCCCCCTTTTCTGTCTGAAAAAACCGGTCTGACAATATGCATTCAATAAATCCATGTGAAACTGTTTTGAGCTCTGAAGGTTAGAAACCCCAGCTTTAAGAAGGGCATAATGGAATCCAGTCACGAAGAGCAACTTGGCATAGGGTCATTTTACAGCATTTAAGATTAACCTGAGTCCAATTATGTCAGCAGACAAAAGGAGTCAAGAACAAAAGCACAGACAGATTAAGGGAAACCTAAAGCCCAAGGGTCAGTGTGTGACATTTACTCTGGGGGGGTCCGCTTGCAGGGCGGCCAGGTAGTTCTCCAGGGCCAGACGTCTGCGATCGTTGAGCATGGCCTCCACCCGGGCGAGGTGAGTCTCCACCAGCTGCTGCTTCTCACTGGCTGCCTCCTCCTCCAGAGACTCCACCATGGCCTGGAAATGCTGAGCAAGCACATGCACACACAATGAATACCAAATAACCAAGAGCTATGTGCAATCCTCATGGACCTTCACATATGGTATAAATCCAATCTTTAACATTACAACTAAAAAAGCATATTCCAGAGAAGTTCCAGGTTTGGTCAAGTCGACTTTTTTAATGTATTTATTTTTGGTAAATCCAATGCCACCAGGTGTGGATCATGCAGATCACCATTCTTAAGACACAGCCTTTTAAAAATAGATACACATTATTTTCAAATACTGATTTCCTAATAACCTAATATCTTTACCAAAACCTTTCTAAAGCCACAAAATCATCATAATGGTATAGTATCATCATCATAATGGAAAAGTATACATCATTTTCCAAGTTTCCTCATTATAATGTACCTACAAAAGAACGCAAAAAAATACTAGTAATTTTCAGACTTCACCCTATTATCCTTTAATACAATGAATTAAAAAAGAGAATAGGTTCATTATTACCTTGTGAACGTGTGTCCAAATTCATGTTAACATTTTACTATTTTAACAATGTAAATAGTAAAACAATCTAATGTAATGCTTTGGCTTTATTAAAATGAATAACCTTATTATGATTTAAAGATGCAGGATCTACTGTGAATTAAACTAGACTAAGGCCAAGCGTATCGACGTTTATACGCATACACTGCCATATACGGTATAATCCAATCTTCAACATTATGACCAACGCATCATTCATATGTTGCTAACCATGACAGAAAATCTATAGCGTGTGTTATTCAGCGATGATCACTGTGATTTCAAAGCTCCATTCCTCACAGATGAGAATGCAGTGAATATTTTTGAGTCCGAAGTTTAATAAATACTGGTAGGTATCCAAGGACTAAGCGCTAAATCAACTTTTTCCAACTAAATTAGCTTACATTAAATACAAGCCTGGTCCTTCATAGTACTGCTGTCATAAAACTCCTAAATTAGGGGTCCTCCATTCACAGCGTGTCCTGGTTTAGCCTTGCAGTGATAAAGATAGAGCAGCCGGGAGAAGCGCTCTTAAATAGCTCTGTCAGCGACTGACTGTGGGCTGGAAGTGGTAATAAGGGACAAAGAGGCAGTCCCTGGCGAAAGGATCTGTGTCTTACCTGGATCAATGTCTGCCTCTCGGCCTTAGGAAGGTTTTTAGCCTGACGATCAGCTTCCTCCCACTCCTTTCGAACCTGGAAATGAGCACCAGGCAGAAGGTGAAGACGTGATTTGAAATGGCGGCTTGATATTGTTAAATCACACTGAGGCTATGACTGTTAGAGCTTCCCAGTTGACTCTATTACTTCTATTTGTTTAATAAAAACAAAATTATTCCATTAAGCTAATTAACAGTGCCATGAAAAAAGTATTCTTTCATACCCCAGGGTCGTTTGGGGTACCGCTATATCTCCACCAAGTTTGTTTTAACTTTCCCCCGACTTTATTTCTGACCCGCCTGGTGTCGCCTGAGTTTTCCCATCACTTGAAGAGGCAGTTTTTAGACCTATATTTTCAGAGATAAGATTACCTAATGCAAAATATGGTATTAAATTACTCTATGGTGGACTCTAGTTAATAGCAAGCGCGTATAAATGCAGCAATCGTATCAATTCTATCTGATAAAAGAAATCGCCTTTGGCCATTCACCTATCTTCAGGCAACCTTCATTTGTTTTAAAGCTGTAAAAGCCCTCACCTCACACTTCTTACAGTTTTCTAACCCCCTGTACTCCCAACTGCCAAAGTGCTATTGCAGAGATGTATAACCTGCTTGGGTAGGTCTGAGCGCTGCTGCAGCTGTCAAAAGCTGCGCATACATTATAAAATACAGCTGCAGAGGACACTGCTCTGAGGGGCAGGAGCAGGACTGAGGGCTACGGGAAGTCGGGATGAGTCAAATGAACTGATCACCGCTGTGCATATAACCCACAAAGGTTTTCTAGTGACTTTAAATATGGGTTAACTGTCATGTTATACTCGTGGTTATAAGTTATTGCAGTATACGCACAGTGCATGAGAAGATGAATCGCAAAAAAGTGATGGACCACTGTTTTTGACTCATAAACCTGGGCAGAGGATGGCTATTCCATCGTAGTCTATGTTTGTTATCACATGGATTACTTAAATTCTTACGCGGGTGATGGGTAGGGTTGACATTACACCCAGAACAATGCTTACTCACCCTCTCCATGCGGTTGCGATGCCTGATTTCGAGCTGCTCCTTGGCCTTCTGGAAGCGACTGTGCTCCTTGTCATCAGCGGGAGTTTCAAAGTAGATGTCGACGTCGTCTGTGGGTTGAGGAGTTGGGGGCAGTACTGCATGAAAAGACAAATGCCATGTGATCTTTATGCCAAATGTCACCCAACTGACACAGACATGTGGGCCAGATCCGGCAGGGATAAGCCACAGGAAGAAAGAAACTGCACGCTGTTACAAAACGGCCTCTCATTCTCCGTAGATACTTTGGCATTTACATCAAGCTGTCTTTCATGGCTTTCTTAAGTCTTAGGTTAGGTAGGACCAAAGGGAGTTTTGTTTTTGGGTTCACTTAGGACTCCCACTCCATCCAATATGCTGACAATAATCGCTTTCATCTCTGAATATAAAAAGCCTCATAAACATCAGCTTACTATTGTAAATCAAATTGAAAAGAAATACAGCCTGTGTCTGGAGCTGGTCTTATCCATAAAACTGTGATTTTTAAATAGACTTTTGAACAGTTTTCTAATTTTCCAATTTTCACCTGTATGTGAGATTTACACCTTATAATCATGCACACACACAGCAGAAAAAAAACAGAAAAACAATGCATGCAAATCAAATTATATATTCAGTTGTAAAATTAAGCAAAGTGGTTGTTATAAGGTTTAGACATGGTGTGAATTGGTGCCCAGTCTGCACCAGAACAGCCTGTGGAATGATCCTATACCAGTGACGATCAAATTGGAACTAACTTGAACATATTGTTGTACATATTATTGCTGAGAGAAAGCTAAAACAACTCGATTAATTGTTAAAACGCAACTCATTTTACTGATTATTTTTTTAATAATCTAATTACGCTGTCACTGTGAGATCTGGATTTTTTTTAAAGACAGAGCAGTATATTACAACAAAACCTCTCAAAAAATGATTTAATAAGGAAATAGTTTTTGTAATCATAGAATTTCCTCCAGCGGCTTCACTAAAACTTAGTTTGCATCAAAATCAGATATTATTGAAACAACTAATCCAATAGTCACAGGAATAGACATAGGAATAATTGTGAGATTATTCGAATGTCAAAATAATTGTTAGCTGCATTGGTAACATTTCTGATTATTTCTTGTACCCTTAGCAATTACTGTCTTAGCGATCTGCTGATTGGGTCGACCATACGTATTTGTGATTTCAATGAATCTATAGTGTATGTGATGTTAGCGCTGAAGCACTAGAAGACTATGGAGTCCCAGGAGGCAGACAGGGGGCAGAAAGGTGGTAGAAAGGAGGCAGATATAGAAGGGTTAGTGAAGCTGGTCCCAGTCTAAGCGTAGACTTACTGAGGCGCTTGCACACGGACATGCAGTACTCCTCTGAGTCGAAATTGTTGCGGTTGCCGGCGCAGCCTCCGTATGTGAAGCGCACACACTTCCTCTGACTCATGTCGAAGTGCCAGCGCGGCATGGAGGCACGGCACGGCCCCGTCTCAGCCTCCAAGGTGCACACGGCTGCCAGGGGACAGCCAGTTAGTCAACCGGCCACTGGGGGCGCCACTCACATCAAACACAGCTAAGGTAACTAAAAACTTTTTTTTAAAGTTTTCTTAAATCAACATCTATGTTTTTACTTGTGAGTAATGAAAGAATTTTAGCTATATTAACACGAGGAAAACAATCTGACACAAACCCAGTATCTAATCAGAGAACCAGTCATTTCAATTGTAGCACTGCGCAATTATTCTTCTACTCTCAAACGGAAATAGGCTTCTTTTGTTCAATACTGCCACCTTCAAATTCAACAATTTACGACTATTCCAAAAAACATGTCAGTGTTTATTACTGAGCTGCAAAGTGCCACCTTGCAGTTCCGGAAGAAAAATCCAATTGCTTTTTCATTGTAAATGCTTGTTTGGGGAACAATGACCAGAAAACCAACATTTCTATTTAAAATGTCTTTCTGACTAAAGTTATAACACATTTTTTTTAGACCAGACCAAAAAATTTGTATTTTCTTTATATTAGTGTATATTTCTATATCCACCAGCTGAGAACCACTGCAGTAGACTGTAGCAAATACAGGTGAAACTCGAACATTTGAACATTGTTAAAACAATTCTGTAATTCAACCTAAAAAGTGAAACCAACAAAATCATAAAGACTCATAACATGCAAAGTGACATATGCCAAGCCTTTGTTTAATATAATACTGACAGTTATGGCAGAATATTCTATCTTTCTGAAATATTATATTTAGGGTTTTTACAAGCTGTGAGACAATTAGCAACATTATTTACCGATAAAGGCTCAATATATCTCACTATTAGTTTCACATTGTAAGCTGCATTACAGAGGTAAATAGTATTTTAAACTTTATTCTAATTTGCAGAGTTTCATTTGTAGGTGGTTAGGGTTAGTTGTTCCTTCAAAATCATAAAATTCAGATTGTTTTCGAAACTTGTGATTTTACTTCTGGAACCAGCGCAGACTACAAAGCGGGCAGGACTTTGCAGCGCCATCTTCCTCCTCCTTATGAAATGAGTTAAAACATTTGAACAAACCTTTGACCTCCTCCAGAACCTTGTCCTCCTCTTGCGTCATGCGGCTGCTGTCTTTCTTCTCTTCTTTCTCTGCGTCTTCATCCTCGTAGATGTCATGGTAATCCTCCTCCTCCTCCTCCTCCTCCTCCTCCTCCTCCTCTTCTTCTTCTTCTTCTTCCTCCTCCTCCTCCTCCTCTCCTTCCAGTGTGGGCAGTTCTGCAGCAGGCGCCTCACTGTGAGAGGAGAGGATGATTGAGCGAAGGGGCGTTGGCCAAACCGGTGTGATTTATCAAACAAGGCTGAGCACTCCCCATAGGTCAATGTCACAGGGCTTTAATTCATCCAGATGGCCTTAATATCCGCCCTTCGCCAATATGATGTGACATATTTTATAGCCCCTTTCAGCCACTCGCACGTACTGTATACAGCAGCTCTAGTTTTCTGTTGCACTTTTGAAAATAATGCTGCCAACAAGTTGAAATCCAACATGGGGCTTCTTGATAAATTTCCAAATGTTTTTTTTTTTTTTAGAGCAAACGGATTATATCTTGTACAATTGAGACTAAATCCTACCCTTAAAGATGCAGTCAGTGATTTTTTTACCAGACGCATTTTTGTAAATATTGTGGGAAAACGTACCTAAACCCTAATAGTAGTCAAGTTATCATGTGTTTTCAAATAGTAATGGAATTGACCAGATGCCTGTAGTCTCCAAAAAATAAAAAAACATGTTTTGGAGCGGACCGATTAAAATAAACCAATGGGATTGGTTCATCCCCAACAAACCAATGGGATAAGTTTACCCCCCTTCACCCGCTTCCCGTTTCTCGCGAGTGTGCGCATCTGAGTTATCGGATTTTCTAAAACCTAAAAGGGCTGAACAGAAAATGACAATTTAATGTTTGCCACCCACTCTCCCTGTTGTGACAAAGAAAAGAAAATGCTGGAAGTTTGGTTTGGTGGAGAGGCGAGGGGAGGGGGGAGTGGTTTCGAGTTGGTGCTACGGCTAAGCTAACAAAATGGCTTACTGCTCCTTTAATTAGAAAATGGATGGATGGGTATTTGTGTGTGTATGACCTTCGGTATGGATGGAGGGAACAATGTTGTAACATGGCCCAAAACTAAAAACTAAAACAAGGGATATTGCATATCTATATATAAAAAGTATACAATAAAAAAATATATAGAATGTCCATATATTTTTATCCTCTGTCCATTTTCATAGCAATTGTGAAGAGAAGAGCAAACAGCTCTTTCTTTTGTTAAATGAGTCCAAGAAAAGGATTTGATGAAGGAGCGTGTTTTCAGATTAGTTTCACTCACGTTTCCTCCACTACTTTATCTTCATCGAGGTCGACCACATCAATCTCCTCATCCTCAATATCCTCGTCCGTGTCCTCCTGAGCAGGCGGCGCTGGGGGGGCTGGGGCTGCCTCCTCTGAGCGTGTGGCCGGACAGCAGACGTACTCAGTCCCATGGAACTTGTCGATGCCACAGGGCAGAAGCATGCCATAACTGTGGAGCACCATGGAGCTCTTGACACAAGCCTGAACAAAAACAAATGAAGCATGTGTTTTAACGCATTACTAACATTTACTCCTTTCACAAACATTTCATTAGATTTGAAGCCTAATTTTCATATATTTTATTGGAGTGGGTGCTTTGAGTAGTGGATGTGGTAAAAAACAAGCTATAAGGTCAACTTCAAGGACATCTGCGAGTCTTCTCTTGGGATTAGTGGCATTGTCTTGACAGTAATGTGATTAGAGTCTGAAGTAAGGACCATTTAATTGATGTTGCTCAGACTGAGGCAGGTGTGAGCGAATGGCAAAATACTCACAGTTAGCATGGGGGCATGTCATGAAAATCATTATATCAGCATATTGTTATAACAAAATATATGGTTAAAGATAATGATAATAATAATGTCCATATATTTTTATTCTCTGTCCATTTTCATAGGATTTGTGGAAAGATGTTTTCTCTTTTTTGGTTAAATGAGTTTTAGTGGGCGAAGGTTGAATATGTCTAAATATTACCACTATCTGTGGTTTGTTTCTTTTGAAGGAAATTGGCAAAAATGCTTAACTAGGGTCATCCTGCAGAATTTTCCTGACATAATACAGGTGAAACTCATAATATATGATCGAGCCTTTATTTGTCATAATCCATCCATCCATCCATTTTCTACCCTTTAATCAATTTCTGGGTCAGGGGGGTGGCAATCAGAGATGCCACCCAAGTCTCATAGCACCAGCCCCTCACTGACCCTCTGCAGGTGGTGAGTCCACAGGAGGACGGCTGCTCTCTGAGTGTGAGCATAGCCTTGATCTTTCAGTGGGGGCTTTGGGCAAAGTGGGGTTAAGTGTCTTGCCCAAGGACACAACGACAGCAGTCATCAGTGGGGAGTCGGTGGAGAAGGTGCAGAGGTGGGAAATGAACCCACGACCTTCTGGGCTTAAGGCCAATGCTCTACCAACTGAGCTACTGGCTCAACATTATTTGTCATAATGTTGAGCCATTATCATAAAAATTATAACAATGGCTTGGAATATGTCCCTTTCGTGTGATTAGTTTATATCATATACTGATTTCACATTTTGAGTTGTTTCATAGAAATAAACTGCATTAGAATTTTCTGAATATTGGCTGGATATCGTATGAGTCATTGTGACAGGTCTGTTAGCATCCACCAATCTTTATAACATGCTATAATCTTTTTTAATGATCGTTTATTTCTTACCTCCTTGGCGACGCTGTGCCACTGCTGGTGGCTCACACACATGTCCATATGCTCTTTGTGGAAGAACTTGCACTTCTCGGGAACTAGAAGTACGTCGCTCACAAACTCACCCACTGTAACAGAAATCGCAAAAACAGGCTGTTAGTCTGGGCCCAATCTGCTCAGAGCTAAACTCTGCCTGCTGGACTGCTCAACTTAAAAAAAGACAAGAAACAACAAGTGGGACAGTTTGAAATGAGTCAAAAACAAGCTGTCTTACTTTATTTGCAACATGTCACAAACACTCGAGACAGACTTGACCAGTCTGACAAAGTACATATTCGATCAAAATGGCAGCTAGGAAAACAAGAAATTACATTGCTGACAACCTAATTGCATTGGATTTTGAATGGGTAGAATTATGATTTATAGATCCAATTTCTAGTTTGACTTTTACCAGTGTCAGGTAATTCAAATATCTAATTAAAATTCACAATAAATTAACCTGAAGTGTACCTGAAGGGAAAACCAAAACAAAGTGTACATCAGTGGCTTAAGTCCATACCACTACTATTGGAGAACTTTTGGCCTCAACAAACTACTTAAAAAGCACACATAATGCATCACAATTGACCGGCTATCATTAATTGGATATTGGATAATCGTCACAGATCAACCTCAGAAGCCACCAAACAAAATCAATCCATAATCCATGTCTAATAAAGGTTATTTTAAAGCCGGGCTACCTAATATGCAAACTATGTGATAAAATCCTAGTTTCTCACTTTCAAACACTTTGGTTCTATCCCTTGTTTTTACATCAATGTATTTTTGACTCACATCTTTAGATCAGCTTTTTTAGACGGAACTGTGAAATGAAGAGATGACCACCCTCACTCAGCCAATCAGCTCTCAAACAAAATAGTAAAGGGTTCTTTCTTAAGTATGCAACAGATAACATGTCTAATAAGATGAAGACAGCATAATGTGGTAGGATTTTTCTCTTTCTGATGGGACTAGCACAATGTATTATCCAGGGAAAAAAGCTGTGAGTATATAGTGATAAGACATTGCAGTATTTAAGTAACTCCTGGGGCTCCACGAACCACAGCTTGAGAAACAGTGGCAAATAGAACAATTTATCTGAAAAAATGCTGTTGTAGCTGAAAGGCACTCTGAGCAAATGGAGCCATCAGGGAGAATATACTTCCACAAACTAAAGTAAAGGTCATGATGCTGGAGGGTCTGATAAATAGGTGGGCTGTAATTAGGGTCTCAAGGTTCGACAAAGAGGGCTGGATCTATCCTAACTGCTCATTTGGAGCTTTGACTCCACTCCCGGCCAGGAGTCGATCCGCCGGAGCACAGCAGTGTTTTGGAAAATAAGAGGGTGGGATCGGAAGAGAAGAGAACTGGAAATAGCAGAGGCCTTTTGCAGCTGCTGCTCATCCCCGCCCAGGAGGTAGACTAACACCCTCTTAACGGACCAACACTATTTGATTTCCCCCGGCCGCAAACACCTCCACAGCAACATTTAGACGCACTTTTTTGGAAAGTTTGTGTTCGAAATATGGAGTGTAAATATACAGGCGGAAACTAGAATATCATCTAATTTACTATCCTAATATTCTTGGATTTATCTACAGATGTGTTCATACAAGTATATACAGTATTTCTTGCACAAGAGCATGGGTTTCAAAGTCAAGGCACGGGGTTCCAGATCTGGCCCACAAATGAATTATCTAGGCCCCCTGGATGATATTAGATTAGTATTAGAACCGGCCCGCACAGAGCCATAAGAAAATATTGGATTCATTTAATGTTCATGACATGTTTATTTTGAGCCAATAGGTTCAATAGGTTATAGGCATCATTTTAATATTTTTTCATCAACATTGAACCCGTCCGGCCCTTGGCTCAAGAGTATTCAGTATTTTATAGGCTATATTCACACGAAGACAAAACGCTTATAATTTCAGAAACTTTTTCTGTAAACACGGAGTTAGCTCAGTAAATGTGTACGTCCATATGAATGTAGTCAATACGCCTGAAAACGTTGTGAAACTATGCCAGACCTGTTGGTGGCGCTGTGACGCAATGACGGGATCAAGCCCAAACTTCCGTGGGCATGCGCGGAATTTTGTAAACAGACAACATGGTGAGTGGGCGAGCTGGTACTACATTAGTATGGACGGACGATGAGGTTGAACTGTTGCTTCGGGTCACACTGGATTACAAAACCAACAAGCTACATTGTTGTTGTCATTATTTTCTGAGTGCGGCGCATGCGTGCTTTAACAAGAGGCGGGGCGATGACGCAAGCGTCTCAGATACATTGCGGAGAGGCAGTAACCACGGAGCGGCATATACGGAGTTTTGAAATCTTTCCACTCTGGGACCTAGTTTCAAAAATGTTCGTTTACACCCCCCCAAAACGCCGGCCTCGTATGGACGATACACTGGATTGATAAAGTATTTTTGCGTTTAGGCCTGAGCTTGACTTCGTGTGGACAGGGCCATAGACTATACAGTATATATTTTTGCTTCTGTATTACGCTAAAGATGGAGATTTTTGGGTCTCATTTTTGCTCCTCATTCCTACTGTTCTGTAACTTGTGATGTAACACTGGAATATCCCCACAGCGGGGTGAATAAACAATCTCTTAATCTTCTAATCTTAAAAGTCTTTTTCTTTTCTGTGATTCAACTTACAATGTGAAACTAATGTATGACTCATTACCTCACACTGAGGTAATCTATCAAGCCATCATTAGTTATCATGTTGATAATTGGTCCACAGCTTGTAAAGGACACGTCACTTTGAATTTAATGAGTCTATATCATGTATTGGATTCAGATTGTTGGTCTTGTTCACTTTAACTGAAAGAATTCTGTTTAAAAAAAGTAGTCAAGTAAAACCATCAAACAAGAGAACAGCCTACTAATGTCTCTCTGCATCTTTTGAAACAGATTTGTGAAGCATTTCTTTTCTACAGTTAAAACAATCCAGATCTTATTTTTGCCATACAAAAGTGAACCAGATCAACAAGTGTGAACGTACCATTAGTCAACTATCATATCTATTTGTTTTTGGATTGCTGAAGGATTAGCCCTCTCCCATATTTGTTCTGAACAGTAGCTCTCCTGGGTTCAAGATTTACTCTGTTCACACTATTTAACTGCACTGAACCAACTCAAGCGTGAAGCAATTTTCTGTACCAATGATGATGCCCTGGTTCTTAGCTATAAGGATTATCCACATAAATAAATTGGAAATCAAAATACCGGAACCTCATCATATGTACGGCTTCATCAAAAATAATCCAGTTGAACTTGCTTTTGTACCAATGCTAACCATGCTAAAACCTTCCCAAAATCTTGAACAGGAAATGGCCCTATCGTTTCTCCACATCAGCTCCTCTTCCGGTACAGATTCATTCACGTGGTCTCGCCCTCATCCCCACACACACACAAGTCCAGGCTGTGTTTTGGTTGTGCAGAAGGCTTCACGCTGCAGTGGGTGATGGATGGCATGTGCAGGCAGCAGCTGTGTGCTTTATAAGTGCTGTACTCCATACGTTTCAGTACCAGTGCTGAGTTAGTTCGTTCTTTTTTGACCTCCTACTTCATCCACGGCACTGGTTTGACTTTCCTGTAACCTTTCGTCCCTCTGCACATTCTCCGTTTCTCCTCTTTTGCGGCACGCTCGAGTAAGTAGTGAAGAGCTCAGACTACACTCACTAAACTGATGATACCTCGCTCGCACTGGGAGCAGGAGAATTTAATTAACTCCACTTTAAGATGTGCCAGTCGACAGTATGCTTATTATCTCTCAAGGGTATCGAGAATCCCTGTGTATTAAGGCAATGTAATCATCAGTACATCTAAATAATACACAAACAAACAGCACAGTGAGCTAATTTACTTGCAAACAATAATAATATGTCACAAAACAATAGATAATTTGCTTTGGCGAGCCCCAAAAACAATCATTTTCATTATGAGCCGGTTCAAAATTGGTTACCGTCATTCTAAGATGAAATATTATGCAGTATTTGTTCTTATTTTGACCTTTACAACATGATTGTGGTATTTGCGGGAATGTTTGGACCGATCTGTGATAGAACTTTCTTGATATTGACGCGGATGGAGCTAAAAAAATTCTTTGCTGATGGAACAATAATGTAAAAAACACAAAATACGTCTATGTCCTTTAAGCCATTTTCAGCGAGGTAATCAACCTTTCCTAAGAGGAGAAATCACCGCAGCTAAACTGCCCCTATTCTTATTTGTTCTTTTTCTCCTAATACCCACTTGAAATCTATTGTCTAGGGTTTTATGTCGTATTTACCCATAATTCAATATGAGAAAGGCTCTTCTTTGCACAAACCACACCCAGCTGTGCATTTACCACCGTAGGCTCTCACCGCTCGAGCCACAATCATAAAAAGTCGGGAAAATAATCCTCCACTGTTAGACAAAGGCATCATGCTGCAGGGATTATGCAGACAGAACAGGACTCACATTCATATGCGCTTCTTTGTGTGAACCAAGATTGTGCTGCTGAGCTAATGCACAAAATACACAAATAATAGCCTATACCTTTGCTGAGCCTTTCATTGAATTTGATATTATTCTTATGAATCTATTCATTGGCCTTGGATGTAACCACAATAGATAATATTGTATAATATATATAATATCCTGTATAATATCCCTACAGCTATTGATTATTTGAAATATTGCGTGAGTCAAAAGAATAATTTGTAAAGCCTTTTTCAAAACCAGGTGCTCAAATTAAGAGCGCTTTGCTTTCCTCAGGGTGTGAGGAAAGTGCAATATTTCAATATAGCCCTGTTGTAATGAAGGCTTTTTAAAGTCATTTCTAAGATAAACCTGTGTGCCCTGCTTTTACTCATATATATTTTGCTATTAACTAAACATAAAATTCAAATCCAAGCATCCAGATCTCCCAATCAAATATACTATCCTTGAGTCTAAGAATGATGAAAAATGAGGACTGTTTTCCAAAAAAAAAACATACACATATTACTGTGAATCTTTTAAATGGGCAAAGGGTTGATGCATGAAACAGGAAGCTGAAACTCATAGGTTTCGAATAGATTGCTTTATAAACCTACAGAACTTCACAATGACAAAAAAAAGTGCAGAAAAACAGGAAACAAGGATGGTTAATTATTCCTGGTGAACTAATGAGGTTGTTTTAATGAAATGACTGTGCTGCTGATTCATAAAGATCTGGTGCCGGGTAAAACGAATAAGGCTGATGCAGACAACCTCCGAGCCAATGCATTAGTGAGCACGCTGATTTGGCACATCTCGACTCAGACAGCGGCCGCTTGGATCCAGACCACTGATTGAATTTATTTACATTTTACTGTAGAAAATGAATAACCTGGTTCTCAATGTGAAATGCAAAAACTTTTTTGTAGATTACCTATATAAGCAGGGGTTTTTAGTATTCCTGGAAAAGTTTAAAGGACTGCTCCTCAATATAAAAACAGCATGACGTTGCGTTGTTCAGGTTTTCATTTATTGTTTCTCAAGTGGACACTCAGGTTGATAATGGTTTGCTCAAGCCTCACCCAAATATGACATCCACACTGTAACATTATAGCAGAGTGATTTATGACGTATTTCCAGATAGAACTAAACTACTAAAATACAGACCTGGACAAACTGTGGGCTGGGGGCCATATGCGGCCCAAGGACCTTGTAATAATTTGTTAAAAACAAAAATTTGTACATCACTATACTCAGCCTTCTTAACCTTTGATACAGTTTTAGTTCAATCCAAGCAAAGAAAAAAAGAATATTGAAACTCAAAATACACCTTCATAATGTAATAAGGTAACACAATATTAAGATTAGGTCCCAAACTTTACACAAACAAACAAAAACACTGGTTATCTTGCCTTGATGTCTATATATATTAAATATTTCTGTTTACCCCGCTTAAAATTTAATTTCACACCCCTGCTTTAGCACCTGGAATTGACAAATATATTAATTTAAGTGCAGACTATGTACAGCTCTAGAATATGAGCAATCTGCTGAATCCAATCCAAAAAAATCTTGGGATGCCATTTCCTTCCTTCCTGAGCCTGAGAGTAAATGGACAAGCGCCATTTGAGACATCACATTTCTCAAAGCAAATAGGTACTGCATATGTAGCGGACAGCCTATGTTTAAACGTACATTGACGTGTGAAGCGTTCAAAAGGCTATGGCTAACATTTAATAAAGCAGGTGGATGTAACCAGATCATCGTGATGCGGCAGCCCACCTCCCTCTCTTTCTGACCCTATGCGTCTGTGCAGTTTATGGCCACTGTCTGGAGGAGAAAATAAGATTGTGCTTTATTGCTCAACAAGCCTCTCCCGCAATAATAGCTTGCCCCAAAGCCATCGCTTAGCTTTCATCCTTCTTGGGTCTTCTCAATGTGCCGCTCAAGGCCAGGATTACCCAACCGCATCACACTACCCTATCCCCGCGCTTCTTGGTCTCTGATGGCTAAAATGCATCATAATCTAATGTTGACGGATGAGGGCATAGAAAGACACTGCCCTTGAACTGGCAGTGATTTGATGCTGTAGCTTACCTAAACATTTGTAAGGCACCACGATATGGGCATGTCCTTTGCACACCTTCTTGTCCTTCTTGCACCAGTTCTCGATGCGGATTGGTTGGTTGGCCTCTACCACATTCGTGATCTGGAGCTCAGGATACATCTGTTGGAGGAAGGAAGTGAAACGGTAATACAAGTGTTGCGAAAGGAGACACGCTGCAAACTGTCAATAGGCCTTGAATGGGATCTTTTTAATCCAGGCTGTAGTCTCTAGATGCCATCTGCTCATCCATGAAAGAGCATGCAATTTGCGCTCCGCCCAAATGCCATCAAAATGTCATCAATAAATGCATCTTAAGCTGTTGGGAAAGCTGCATGAAAATGTAAGCTTTAGCTCTTCTTCTTCGAAAGCCAGGGTAATAAACATGACACTAATGCTGGTGCAATGGCTCAAAAGATACAGTATGAGAAGGAGACTGCACAGGACAATATATATACCTTTCCTAAAATAAATATTTTTGCATTATTTTTGGTCATTAAATGTGATAATGAGACTAATTACTTTGTCATTTCATGTTTCAGAATGTGAAATATTATCCTAAGTAGAAAATTTATGAAGGGTAAAAAATGCTTTCCTCCTGTAACTCCCTGTGGTACCACCAGAGGGATGAATGAGTTTGTTTTTTTCTTCTAAATTTGAAAATCACCAGCAGCAAACACATCCATGTTATCTTATTAGCCACATTTCCACCGCAGGCGTTCCTGGTAAAAGGAGCGGGGTGGAACTTTTACAGGAACCTTCCTCTCCCTCGGCCCTCTCAGTGTTCGTGACTCCACTGCAAAGTAGGACCACTCGGTGACGTCATGAGTTTCGATTGCTGCATAGGGAACCTCATTACGCCAAACCCGTTATTATTATAGATCCATGCGCCAAAACAAATGTGTTTATTTCATGGTCGTAACCGCTCCGGTTGGTGTGGACTTTGTTTTTTTTTATAGTCCTGCATCAGTTTTTTAAAACTTTTCACGGCTTGTTTTGGAGTGTGATGAATCCCACGTGCTTTGAAGTGAAGCCGATATGTCTTAATATATCTTTTAATTTCGCTGCGATGCCTCAAACCCTGTCTGAATCTATGCCATGCTGTTGTTTGCTGTTTCCAGTGGTGTCTGCCCAGCTAAAGCTGCTAGACTAATGCTGCTAGGCTAATGCTGCTGAATGCCGGTTGTTTTGCTGCTTTCTGCTGGCGTCAGAGCCTATGCTAGCAATAGCGAATCAGCGCCGGGTAAACCTCAAGTCCCACCAGGGCCCAATGGAGTACATACTATGGAGGAGGGACTCTGTTAGGCCCCGTAACAGTTCCCGTAAATGGCCCTGGGAGGGAAGTTCCTGCAGTGGAGACACGCACCGACGAGGATGGCCCTGAAAAATTTCCCCAAAGTTCCTACGGTGGAAACGCGGCGATTATGTAAATATGGTCATTTAAGCTGAAAGTGGAATGACTGATAGTTCCAAAAATAAATTATAAGCAATAATTAAGGAGGAAAAAACTGCTCAGAGCGAATAACATTATACTATTGGAGGATTGAGACAGAAACTTTTAGACAGAAGGGGCGAAGTTCCTGAGATTAGCATGGATGGATTTAAAAACAGCTTTGATTGGCTTTTGATGAGGGAACAATGTTATACCCTGGTTCAAATATGCTCAAATAAGTCCATTCAGCATAATATGTCTACTTTACAGCAACAGTACGAAACCGCCTAACAAAGAAGACAAATATAAAACATGTTCTACCATTTTGGTTGTACTTATGGCACTGAGAAAAGTATGAGCTGGCTTGCATCTCCACAAACTAGACTCATATTTGTGGAAGAGGGCCTCATTCTGCCTGCTTATTAGGATAAAAAAAACGTGTATATTCCACCATGTAACTGATACATTTTGGTCCAGAAGTTCCAAACTCTCAAGCTGTCTTTTTAACTTTCTATTTCATAGAACTCATGCAGATGATTTTCCACATCCTGCAAGCTACGTGCTGTCACTTTATTATGCAGCCAGATATGTCATGAAATAACACACTGTGCACTTCCTAGCAGAACAAGTTTCTGCAGGATTTGCCTTGGTCATTTCAGTTTTTTATGTTTTTTTTTATTAACGCTTGAATCGCACAAAAATGCACCGACTTACAGAGAAATTTAGTTGTATATATGCACTCACCTCCTGACAGTATTGCAGAACCCCCTCTTTGGTTCCTACACAGCTCTTGGTGCTGGACGGGTCAGGGTCCCATCGGCCGGTCTGTACGTTGATGTGCATGTTGAGCTTTCCACAGAACATGGCCACCTGCGGCTCGGCCACAGCAAACCCGATGCCGGCATTGGCTGCTAGTGCCTGAAGAAAAAAGAGAGACACAAATGGGTGAATTGGGTGGAACACTTTATAAAATATATGCTTTGGATAACAGCAGTGACTAACATGGATGGCTCTGGATCAAGAGCCTCCCCCCACACACCCCTCATCCATCCTCACCCCTGAACATTATTCAATATGCATAGTATAAGTAATAATATACTCTGTGTAAGAATTACACAGACTATTTACTGCATAATGCTGTAAGGACTTCTCAATGTTGTGGTAATATCTATGGTTCCAAAAATGTTCATGGTTACAGAAACATTATATCAGAATTGATTTGCCCTTCACTATATAAATCCAGCAAAGCCCCCCATGAAAATTCTCTGGAGTTGTCACTACATGTTGACAACATAAACTTGAGCCCAAATGAATGCGTTGAATTTCATGGCCACATTTTCATTGCCCTTGAATCAGATTAATCAGCTCATTGACATGGAGTTGCTGTCAGCAAATTCACATGATGTTTGGCTAGTTTTTAGTCCCCTTTTTCTTTCAAAGAACAACAAAAACTGCAGCTTTTGAGATTTGTTAAAGGCTACCATAAAATTTTTTATTCCAATTTGATTGCGATTCATTGTGCAGTTCTACACACGTCTCAAATTTAAATAAGGATCAATAATAGTTTAAATAATTTGCATCATGCCACTAAACACACTGAAGTTAACCAGCGATGGAACAACCTCAGTGAACCTTTTGTTGCCACAGTAACTCTTCAGGTTAGAAAGTAAGACAGGGGAAATTAATTGCCTCTTGGGAATGTTTGAGCAGGTGGATTGTTAAACAAGTGTGGATGGGATTGGATTTGTGTGTGAGCGGAGGTGCCCTTTAGACCAGGAGACTCCATAAGCACAGAGCAGAGGCAGAGCTGCAGCGGCCATGCCTCACCGCGCAGGACATTCCAAGCAGAGGGCGAAGCTTTGCTCATTCAGTTCTCCAGGGACAAAAGCCACACTCCACCAGCGTAGATCATTTATTACTCAATGTAAACAAGACTGTCAATGAAAGTTCACCCAGACACTCGGCCAATCATCACATCAACACCACAATCCATCAGGAAATATGTGTACAGCTCGATCGTTGAATCTTGCAAGATAAAACTGCCAAACGATTATGCACGCATTATCCATTATGAAGTCAAAAGTGTATAAGGCCCTATGGACTCGTGAGATACATCTTTTGTAGAAGTCATAGTTTAATGAAACAGTGAGATACATACTGTGCAAAAAAAGTTGTCAAAGTTATTATACTAGTAATTTCTTGTCTCTTGGACACAACAGTATATTTCAAACGGCCTGTTGGAAAAAGATCTGTCACCCGAAAAAAAAAGAAGGTATTTAAAATGCTGTTTGATCCTAGTATTGATAAATTGTAAGCATATTTGCCGGAAGCCGCTGAGCCTTCAAATCAACCTTTAACAAACTATGGTTATCTTTCATCATCCTTGAAATCAATTGTGCAGGGCTAGGGTTTGTTCAAATTTCCACTAATGTAGTATGGACAAAAATGTTTCACATTTGCAGACAGATTATCTTTCCTTTCCTTTAATTATGAAGGCCCAAGAGAGCACCACACAGTTAAGCAGGTTTCTTGAAGGTCAAGTGATCAATGTGCAATGAAAAATGAATTATTTGGACGATGATAATAAGATATTCTAATAGAAATGAGCATTATCAAGTATAAAGCCATCAGAGTTTAAAGGAGCACTACGCAGCTCTCTTGCTTGGGTCGATCTAAAATCAATAATTTCTCTACCTGGAATGTTCCAAGTCTCCAATGGAGACAAGCAGAGACGTCACAACACAACTAGGCTGAGTTATAGGTCATATCTTCGAAAAGCGAGTCTGCTCAATGTAAAAATGTACCACATTGAGAGTAAAAGCACCAGTAAGTTCAACATCACATTGAGTTACATCACAACCAAAGCAACATCTCGATGGTGAAAAACAGGTAACGGAATCAGACGAATAGTGCACCTCTGAATATTAGGAAGGAAGGAGAGGAAATTCCACATTCCAGCCATACATACATGCAACTGAATGTGCTTATAAGACAATGCAACAAAAACAATTGATCTTTATTTAACCAGGATAGTCCTGATCAGTTTCTACTTTTCAGGGGAGTCCACAAATCAAGACATATAATAATTAAAGACACATCCACAAGACTATAGAGAAATGAATGTCCACAGTTTAGTTTACTCTTGAATGAGCTTGTTAAATTTGAACGCCCATTTACAAGGAGCATAATGGAAGAAGGCACCAGGTTCAATCCACTTTGATAATACTAATCCCTACCCACTGCGATTGGTCAATACCACTCGGCTACAAAAGTACAAAGAGCGACTGAGACTTCCTGCTTTATCTCACACCAGGAGTCCCTGGACAGGAAGTGGGGCAGATAAGGGCAGATATTTCCCTGATTACTACAGATTCTGGTTGAATAAACAGGCTGTGATCTAAGAGCATGTAAGCGCGACCAAATCGAGTCAGTGTTTGTTTCCTGCTCTGGTGCCTGAAGGCCAGTAGTCAGTTGTGGGCACGTGAAGATACCGGGCGAAAACAGCTGAAGAGGCAACACCAGCGACACAGTGTTCAACAAAGCTTGCCGTCTAAAAGTGCACAGCTCGCGGGCTGATAATAGGAGCAGAACAAAACAAGTGCTGTGTAATCAGACAGTGCAGTGGAGCTACAGAGGCACAGACTAAACACACTTCGTACAATATTCCAAATAACAACGACATGCCTCTCAATAATGTAGGCGAGATGACTACTATGCAGCAATTATATCAGAATTCTGATTCTTCTGACAAGCACTGATTTAGGAATGCACAATTTTTCTATAAAGATTAACATCAAAGAATAACTGGATGTGCAATTCTTCTGTTATGTTCAATGCTGAAAAGCTAAACCAATACAAGGATCTGATGCCTTTCAGAACAAGTCAATACAATGAATTTCATACATAGAAACAATATTTTACGTGTTCATATAATCGTATATTGTTTGCTTATTGTAATTTTGGACTTCCGAAACCCTAACCTTAAACAAATTACCTGTCTTACTCCACCATTCACCATTTGAATAAAGAAATAGCAACAAAATGTGAATATTTTCTCAGTCTGTAGCAAAACGCCAAGATTATATGCTGGTCTTTATTATGTTTATCTGTGAACAATGTTATTTCAAATCAGGTATACCAACTCATTTACTTTAGGAAAAAAAATATTAGATGATGTTTAAGACTCAAATAAAGGATTACTTTGCAAGATATTATATTGTCAAATTTCACCCTATATTCAGGCACATAAAAGGTCTGTATATAACATTAAAAACAGACAAACAACATAAAGCAAGCCATACTGACATAGTAAAGTCTGTAATATAAAGTCGGTAATATAAGGATCTATTAGAATGGCCACAATTGGCTCAATCCGGGTACAACTATCTGATGTCTGATGTAATCTACTCTGCTACTAATTGAAAAATAATTGCTTGAATAATTGAATCCCAAAAAAACTCTTTAGTTACAGCACTGATGAACTTACATTCAGGTAAAATGACTCTCAGTCTGTTTACTCTTCCTGGCAGTAAGTAACCAAACCTTCCACAGCCCTGGACACCACAGCTCTGTATCGACCACACTCCCACTCATTCCTCCTCACTCCTCCAGAGCAAATCAGGAGTGGAACAAGAAGCATCTGTACCAACTATGCCCCGACAGAGCACACGGCTGCAGTTGCTGATAACACTGACTTCATGATAACAGTCAGAGTAAAACAATGCTCCTGTTATTCACCAAACTAAACTTAACTAAACTGATCAGCATTTCCAAAAATATACAGGGGAGGAGCTACTTTTTGCGACAGTGCAGTGGCACCTGTGGCCAGTAGACAAAGAATGCAAGATAAAGAATCTTAAGCAGAGGGAACTCAACAGAACCTAAATCCAAATAATAATAAGTATACATTCAGCCAGGACATGGTTAAGAAATCAAATATATGACTAGTTCACTTGGATTGTCCTTTGTGGGGCACCTTAAAATAATATTGGAATCACTCATGTTTCATTTTAACTTTATATGGTCTTTAGTCGCCCAGTTCACTCGAAATGTACACTTGTCACCTGTTACTCATTCACAGCATGACAAAGTCTGACGAATGTGGGGGAGGAACATATCTGGACAGCTCTACTTTGACACCTACCCTGACATTAAACACTATTGTGTACATGTTTGATAAATTTAGTTCCAGTTAGCAGTATGAGTGTTTGCCATGATTCACTTTGAAATTTTAGGACTGTGACAACACTATATCTCAAAGGTCATATGAGCCCTGTGGAGTCACTGCAATCAATAAGCCCAATGTCGTGGAGACTGCGACAATAAAATCTAAAATTAAACTGATTAGAAAGAGTCCAGTGTTTTGTAATTTTCTGTCTTAGTTACTTTGAATCGACTGTGGAACGGATTGGAAGTGAGTGCGCTTCTGTCCTCTCCTTGGCATATTGATGTCTTCAGCATTCTGTCATGTTCTATTTGTATTAAATTCCTGAAGCACTGGTAGCCACGGATTACTGACAGGAACAGAATTGCAGCCCACCACACCTAATGAGCGTAAATATTGAGCTGCTATCCGTCATAAGTGACTCACCAGGAGCAGTCATATCATGTGTAAGCGTGAACTCCAGGCTTATGAAGTCAAAACACAGGGAAGGAGGGAGTGGAAGACATGGACGGGTGGAAAAGGAAAGCATAGGCAAGAAAGGTGCTCAGGCTGCTCGATTAATCGCAAACAAATCAAAATGTTTGTGGTCGCAATTAGAACATTGCGAAGAGAGCTATTTTAAGATAAGTCAAATATCGCTTGAATTTTGAAAATAAATTACCTTGATTTAAGTTTATTTTGAAGATTTGTCAACAGAAAGATTTGTTTGATATCTTTCGACTTGTTATCGGACCGAAGCATTATTTTCGACTTC